TGATGACTGGGGATTATTTGCAGTGTCTCATAGGGTGCTCGGGGGGTCAGCCCCTAGTACCACTCTTTTGGATTTGGTATCGGCCTCTGCAACCCCCCTTTACGAAGTAGAACATGAAATGTGCAATCAAAATACCGCAGATATTGTCTATAATTTAAACATTAATGTATTCAGACATGACATGCAAGACGACAGAGTTGCGTCCTGGGCACAACGTTTTGAGTGAAAGTGTGTAGTGAAAATGCTTATATACAGTGATGAGGGAAGGTTATCTTGAGGTTATCTTGAGATGATTTCGGGGCTTTTTAGTGTCCCCGCGGCCCGGTCCTCGACCAGGCCTCCACCCCCAGGCAGCAGCCCGTGACAGCTGACCAACACCCAGGTACCTATTTTACTGCTAGGTAACAAGGGGCATAGGGTGAAAGAAACTCTGCCCAATGTTTCTCTCCGGCGCCAGGGATCGAACCCAGGACCACAGTATCACAAGTCCAGCGTGCTGTCCGCTCGGCCGACCGGCTCCTCACTAGTGAGAATGGGGAGAGTGAGAATGTGTGCTGTGGGGCAGATGGGTAGGGCAGGACCCGTACAAACCAGTACGGGACTAGTTTTATACAATGTTATTACTGGTATGTACAAACTACACCCCGTACTTAAGCTTCAACATTACACGATAGTTTATGAAAATCCTTTGATAGAGAATGTTGCAACATTGCGATATTTCACACCCTGGTAACTTGCACTGAGTTTGTATCTTTAGATTATGTTCCACAGCTGTGAATATTGGCGGCTGTTAGAATTATAATTAACATCCCGTAATTTAAGTAGCATTTTATTTTTTCTGGCAGTCCTTCTGGGGAGGATAGTTTGTGAGTTTTCGTGAAGTTTACCATAGATTTAGATATTCCGTTTTCTTTGGGTCGAGTAGTAAAGTTTAGTTTTCTATTTTCCATTTTTAATTGTTCGTGTCCTAAAAAGTATATATTTCTCTAGTTCTCTTTCGTTATAAATCTTTACGTATGTCTGTTATTATGCCATTCGCAGCCCCATCCCTAGGGATGGGTAGTCTTTCCTAGGGATGGGTGGTCTTCCCTAGGGATGGGTAGTCTTTCCTAGGGATGAGTGGTCTTCCCTAGGGATGGGTAGTCTTTCCTAGGGATGGGTAGTCTTTCCTAGGGATGGGTAGTCTTCCCTAGGGATGGGTAGTCTTCCCTAGGGATGGGTAGTCTTCCCTAGGGATGGGTAGTCTTCCCTAGGGATGGTTCGCAGGTTCGAATCCTCGTCACGGCCCTTGTGGATTTGTTCATTTGATGCCTCACGCAATTGTAATTTCTGTGTGTTATCAGTTATGTACAAGAGTCCCTCCCAGCCCTCTCTCTGGCCGTGGGGTGGAAATATTCGACAGATATATTGGACGTAAATATTCCCGTCTCAAGTTGGTCCACCTCTGGCGGGCTAAATATTATCCTCCTTTATATTTTGTGACCAAGTGACGAGGTCACAGTCTTGTCTCACAGTTGTCGCATATATATATATATATATATATATATATATATATATATATATATATATATATATATATATATATATATATATATATATATATATATATATATATATATATATATATATATATATATATTTATATATATATATATATATATATATATATATATATATATATATATATATATATATATATATATATATGAAAACCGTGACCTATCGAAGCGATTTCAATAAGATTAACAAAGTTTTGTTCCCACTTAAAAAAAAAAGTAAAAAACTAAGAAGAAAAAGCCGCCCATTGCATTGTTTTGCACACACGGCGTTTTATGTCAATTTTTTTGGTTGATACAACTTGGAACAAAGCCTCGGGAGTGGGTCCAGTTTTTCTCCTCAATAATGATAAGACAAAGCCATAGTCCAGAGCCCCGAGTCCGGCCTCTTGCTGCGTCCTCATACCTTCAATATAATAAATAATAATTACTAATAATTATACAAGGGACGGGATTTATCAGGGGGAAAGCGCCGAGCCATTACAACTATATAGCACTGGGAAGGGGTCAGGATAAAGATTTGGGATGGGACGGGTAGCAGGGAGGGGGTGGGGGATGGAATGGTGCACAACCTCTTGGATGGTCGAGGGATTGAGCGCCGACCTGCATGAAGCGAGACCGTCGCTCTACCGTCTAGCCTGCATGGAGTTGGGGGTCATCACTATACCGACCGGTTCAAGTGTTTGGTTTACTGAACACAAATATTTTTTTGAACTCAAATCAAATCATCTCAAGATAACACTTAATCACCACTGATTAAAATTCCTCACTGCAACACCTTTCTCATAAGAAAATGTAAGATAATAATGGGAGTTTCTGATACGTTTAAATTTCCAGATTGTTGAAGCCGTGACGAAATTGACTGAAACTGAGTTTTTTACTATTTGTTGTAGATTCGCTACCTGGAACAAAATGTTTCAAGTAGCACGGGCTATGGTGAGCCCGTAGTTTTACGATTTAAGAAAGAAGTAAAATAATTAACTTTCGATTTTGACAAACATTTATATTAATATTTCTGTCTTTGAGTCAAGCTGACTGATGGGGTCAACCCCTCTGGCAGCCACGATCGTTCTTACTCTAGAATCCCAATAAAAATCAGCCAGTCACGCCAGAATGGCCCCGGGTTCGACTCCCAGACAAGTCGCAACGTTTGAGTAACGTTTCATTTCAACTGATGCCCCTATTTACTTAGTAATAAAAAACAGGCACCTGGGAGTTAGCTAACTATTGTGGCTTGCATCCTGGGGAAGGTCCATTAGCCTTTGGGGAGGAATCTCGATAAACCTAACGGCTTCCTGTCCCCGACAATGGAAAACGAAATGAAAAATAGAGTTATTAATGTCTTTATGTCTTTAAATTGTCTTTCTAATAGCAAGAAATGGACTCATACGTAGCTTGAAGTCCCGCGGTCGGCCGGATACAACTCGGGCTCCTGTAGCCTAAACTATATATTTTGTTCTATAGTGACTCGGCATAGATCATCAACCCCCCATTTTTTTCATTTATTCGTCTTCCCTCCGCTCATCAACCCCCTTTTCATCTGCCACTTGTAATTAATTCACCTTCCCCCTTTCATTTATCATCTACCCATTTTTATCTACTCTCCTACCGCCTTTCATCTGTTTATCTACCTCCCCATTCAAAATTCTTGGCAAGGAATATAGCCGTTTCAAATTGTGACTGGACCACCCATTAGGAAATCAGGTAATGGAAACGGGCCAGCAGGCAACCCGTGCCAGCAGGCAACCCGTGCCAGCAGGCAACCCGTGCCAGCAGGCAACCCGTGCCAGCAGGCAACCCGTGCCAGCAGGCAACCCGTGCCAGCAGGCAACACGTGCCAGCAGGCAACCCGTGCCAGCAGGCAACACGTGCCAGCAGGCAACACGTGCCAGCAGGCAACACGTGCCAGCAGGCAACCCGTGCCAGCAGGCAACACGTGCCAGCAGGCAACACGTGCCAGCAGGCAACCCGTGCCAGCAGGTAACACGTGCCAGCAGGCAACCCGTGCCAGCAGGCAACCCGTGCCAGCAGGCAACACGTGCCAGCAGGCAACACGTGCCAGCAGGCAACAGGTGCTAGAGTAACGTTAAACTGACGTACGATCAGCGTTAACTTAATTGATGCAAACCAGTGGGAGCAATATCCAAGAGGAACGTAACTTGAACGTTCCTCGTTCAGACAGCTCCTGCGACGGCGCGGGAAACAATCGTATTGGTGTTTGCCTTTCCATTGGAGACTTTCGGCGCCGTGGAGAGGGAGGGGGGGGGGGGGGGTGAGGGGTACCTGCTGCATGGGTGACAGCTTCTCCTCCATATCAACCTACCCAGGCTTTGCGCCCTGGAGAGGCCACTCCAGACCGACAACCAGAGCGCAACTCCATAGTCTCCTGAGACTGGTGGACGCCTACTACTACTGGGTATGATCAACGTAGCATCATCAACGTTCAACGTTCATTTATTGTTCTACCCACATCGTTTGAGCACCCTGACGTCCGGTTAACGTTCCACGATACAAATACATAGAATAACTTGCAACTGTCCGCTGAAGGTAATTATCAACGGAAATCACTAAGTCTTTGCTACTATATAGCACTTGGAAGGGGGGATGAGGGTTTAGAATGGGACGGGGGGGAAGGGAGGGAAAGAAGGAAGAGGAATAGTGCCCAACCACTTGTGGACGGTAGGGGGATTGAACGCCGACCTGCAAGATGCGAGACCGTCGCTCTACCGCCCAGTCCAAGTGGGTGGGCGAAGGAATAATCGGAATTCCGAAACGTTTGAGATAAAGAAACGTGAATGGCTAACAACCTGTGTGAATGGCCAGTTTTCCTGTTGCTGGTAATGAGGTCCGCCCCCCGCAGTCGCTCTATGCAAGCATACTTTCACCCCGGACTCGTTTTCTTTCAACAATGCAACTGAATGACCCCAAATTCAGGCTTGAAGTAAACCGGAATCTTAAAAGAGCACAAGAATAATACGAACACTGGCTGTGGCCTTCGGGGGAAAGAGCGATCAGTGGCGTTGAGCACTTTGAGGTATGAACAGGCTTCCAGGAGAGTGTTCAGCCAGCTCTTGTCTTGAACAGACACCCCTGTCGTTCTCTGTGAGAGTAGATACTGCTGTCGTTTTCTGTGAGAGTAGATACTGCTGTCGTTTTCTGTGAGAGTAGATACTGCTGTCTTTCTCTGTGAGAATAGATACTGATGTCGCTCTCTATAACAGATACTGCTGTCGTTCTCTGTGAGAGTAGATACTGCTGTCGTTTTCTGTGAGAGTAGATACTGCTGTCTTTCTCTGTGAGAATAGATACTGATATCGCTCTCTATAACAGATACTGCTGTCGTTCTCTGTGAGAGAAGATACTGATGTCTTTCTCTGTGAGAATAGATACTGATGTCGCTCTCTATAACAGATACGGCTGTGGCTCGCTGTGAGAATAGTTTCTGCTGTCATTCTCTGTGAAAATAGACGCCACCCAAGCAAACGAGGAAATTTGTTTACTCAATGTAAATTACAGCTCACTGCGTCAGTGAACGAATGATAGTGAAGTGCAGCTCCAGTACACCAAACTTGGCAGTGCCCAGTGCCCAGTGCCTAACTGCCCAGTTGCATTATACACGAACATTTCTGAAGTGTAGGTGCAGCAAGCCTGAGAGTGTCCAGCCATATTAGCATTGGTATGTATATATTTGAAATCTCTAACTACGGGCTCACCATAGCCAGTGCTACTTGGAACTTTTCGTTCTAGGTAGCGAATCTTAAACAACAACATTTAAAATCTCCTGTTTTAATTTAGGGGGGGATTAAAAAAATAAACTTGTAAAACAATATTGGAACAATGCTTTCGTATCGCTGTTTGTAAACAGATTTAGAGGGAGGGTATGAAGCGCATGATCGAACTGTGTATTGATCGTGTTCGAAACCTCTACATCTTTTATAAATCACGGTGGCTTTGCTAACATTAATTAAACAGTTTATGAGTTGCGAAGCATTACCAGGTTGAATAATAATAATAACCTTGAGTTGTGAAGTTCTGAAAATCATAAACTGTTTAATATATGTACTTAAAGCCGCCATGATTAACGGAAGATGCAAAGGTTTCGCAAGTGGATGCATAAATGGTTGGGTAATCCTGGATCTGATCGCTACAGTATCACTAAAACTGACCTTAATCAGTGTATTGTGTCCGTTTTATATGTGGCAGATCGCTGCGCTGAGTCATATGTGTAGATCTTAAGTAGTGCAGTGGTGTATCACCTGTGTGTCCATCACCACTGTGTGACAGACACACACACACACACACACACACACACACACACACCAGTTGATTGATAGTTGAGAGGCGGGACCAAAGAGCCAAAGCTCAACCCCCGCAAGCATAAATAGGTGAGTGAGTACACACATCTCAATCCTACAGGTGTTTATGGGTTGTATTCTGCATATTCTTAAAGTAACTATGTTCTTTTCCATTCTTTCACAAGTTAGAATGGCGATAATTGTTATGATAATTGTTATAATATTTTGTTATGTTTCATAAATTAGTTTATATTCTCCTGTTATTAAAAGTATTATTTACGTAGCTAGAGTTAGAACTCTTATCTCCTGATTGAATGTTCTGTTATCATGCTTGGTGTCTCGTGACTCAGCAATGTTATCTTAAGAGGATTTCGGGTCTTAGCGTCCCCGCGGCCCGGTCCTCGACCAGGCCTCCTTTTTCGTTACACATCCCCCAGGAAGCAGCCCGTAGCACCTGTCTAACGCCCTGGTACCTATTTACTGCTACGTAAACAGGTGCATCAAGGTGAAAGAAACTATACCCATTTGTTTCCGCTTCCACCGGGGATCGAACCCGGAACCTTAGGATTACGAAACCCGAACGCTGTCCACTCAGCCGTGGGTACTCCCCACTGGTTATGACCTGCTGATTCTGAAGTGTAGATACGTCTGTCTTTTGTAACAATCATTTTTATGAAAGTCACTAAACGCGTCAAGTCAAATTTCACCATCAACTCTTGTATTTTTAAAATTATAAATTGCGCTAATATGACACAGTGGCACGGTCACTGCACCAATATGACACAGTGGCCCGGTCACTGCACCAATATGACACAGTGGCCCGGTCACTGCGCCAATATGACACAGTGGCACGGTCACTGCGCCAATATGACACAGTGGCCCGGTCACTGCGCCAATATGACACAGTGGCCCGGTCACTGCACCAATATGACACAGTGGCCCGGTCACTGCGCCAATATGACACAGTGGCACGGTCACTGCGCCAATATGAAACAGTGGCCAATATGACTGAGGACATATATATATATATATATATATATATATACATATATATATATATATATATATATATATATATATATATATATATATATATATATATATATATATATATAGCACTTGGAGGGATATGAGGATAAGAATTTGCGATAGGACGGAGGGAAGGAATGGTGCCTCAACCACGTGGATGGACGGTCGGGGATTGAACGCCGACCCGCAAGAAGCGAAACTATCGATCTACTTACCTGTAATATACGCGTATGCTTCTAAGGGATTATCAAGATCGAACACCAATTGAGAGATTAATGTGATTGTGAGCCATCACAAACTATTACCAAGACCCGGAATTTTGGGGGGATTAGCCAATCTTTCTCTAAGATTGAATTATGAAGCTTCACTTCACCGCCACCAAACCATATCGACTCACGTTTTTCAGATTTATTAAGGACCTTTGCACTCCGCGGCCTCTTCTACGGGCTCACCATAGCCCGTGCTACTTGGAACTTTTTGTTCCAAGAAGCGAATCTTAAACAACATCCGGGGCCCTCCAGTGTGTAGCCTAATGGGAGTAACATAAGTATGGAAAATCATCACCTCTGTCACTCCCCGTTCATTAACAGTAAATTCATTTACCTCGTTCTTAATCGTCTATTGTTCTAATTCCTCTGTTACGAACCCGGATCCAGCGCCCGAGCCTGGAGCAGTGACAAACACGCCATCTGTGGGTCAGCTCCCGAAACCCCCGCCAAACGAACGACGACACCTAGTGAGGACAACGTGTACTGGCCTCGAGGACCAGTTTCCAGTCTGGTTCAGCGCTCAACACCGCCGCTCCTGACCTCTGGTGAGGTGGTGCTCCGACGACAGCGCCATCTATGGACTGGATACGTCAGGCGTTAGTATCTGAGCCTGTGAGTGTGGTGTATTAGTGTCCCAGTTATTGATGACGTGTCTGTTTACAGAGCCGACCTGGGACCACTGTGTTGAAGGTGAAGTCAGTCTACCCGAGGCAGCCAGTCTCCATACAGTGAAGTTTGCTGTAGCTGTTGTGACGTCGTCCCCCCGGAAGAACACTGTGGTGTGTTAAGCCTGCCAGTGGAGTGGCAGTGGAAGGATTTACCCGGGACCGACGGTTGGAGACGATAATCCACTGGGGTATTGAGGACAGGAGGGTGATTGGTGATATCACACGAGACTCCTGTCTAGGGCGTACCCCTTTTATCGTTCGTGGAGTGGCCGTACCAGCCTTGGTGGCTCAGTACCTGCCAGCAGACCTGCTGGACGTGTGGTTGACGGCCTCCACGACGGTGCCCCCAGTGGACCTGTGTTGTGGCTGACCTGTGGCCAGGGTAGGCTCGGCGTTCTCAGAGGACACGTCTTGAGGCCACGAAGAAAGCGCCGCGGACTCAGCATCTAGCTTCGAGGATCCATAGTCTCCAGCAGAAGACTACAGTCCTGATCTCCTTTGTAAAGTGTTAATACCCCTCCCCCTTGTGTACGTTTTATTTTTATATATTTAAATGGTGAAGGTTATATTATATTATATTAAGTTCTTACCTTTCTTTCCCTACTCCCTTTAAGTTACTTGCGTCACGGATCGCATCCCTTGATAGCCTCTACTGGCTTGGGGCCGGATATATATCTTCCTCTAACTACATCAGAGTAAGAACCCCGTTGCGTCCCGAGAGGGCCGTAACATCCTCACATTTATTCTTTACATCATTCCTCTTTTCCTTGCCTCGCATTCCCCGTTTTATCGTGAATAAATTTATCGCAAACATTCCTTCTCTAAAGCTTTTTTGCCTCTCGTCATATTCCCATCAGTCATACAAGAGTGTGGTCAGGTTTCTGGGAGCCAGGTGCCAGATTCACGCAGCAATTACGCAAGTACTTACGAACGTGTACATCTTTCCTCAATCTTTGACGGCTTTGGTTACATTTATTAAACAGTTTACAAGCATGAAAACTTTCCAATCAACTGTTGCTATTGTTATAAACAGCCTCCTGGTGTTTTGGAGCTCATTAACTGTTTAATAATTGTAAACAAAGCCGCCAAAGATTGAGAAAAGATGTACAGGTTCGTAAGTGTTTGCGTAACTGCTGTCGTGAATCTGGCTTCAGGTGAGCGTATGCCCGCCGAAGCCGGTTGACGATATAGGGAACTAAGCAGCGGCAATTTCAAAATGCAAAGGAACTGTCACAGTACAGCTTAAGTTAGAAGGGGGGGGGGGAAGTTATTTCAACAGCAGTTATTTATACTTTTATAGCCGCTACCACCCAGGGCGTTGGTGGTAGCAGGCAGGAGTAGAGCGCTCACCACTACTTACCACTTAAGTGGCTGACTGCAGCAAGTTGAGCGGCTGGAACAGACTTCAAAACCAGGAGGCGCTCTCCAGGTGAAGGGCCGCTGAAGACTAACACGAGAAACGCACTTCTGAGACCTCAGAACGATGCGCTAAAGCCAAGAACCACCTCGACCCACCACAAAAACCCGAACAATATAGCAAGGACAAAAACAAAACAAAAAAAAAACGATATCTTCAGGCTAAGCGTGACTTCCACAAAGGGCAGAGAAAACAATGTCCTTGCGAGCGTTCAGAACGTAGTGCACTGTACTTGAAAACCAACTAAAAGAAAACGGGAATACAGCATGTAGTGCATATATATTAACAGGTAAAACTGTGTGTTACAAACACTTAAATTTTGATAATTTGCTTGGATGTGCAGACATTTTTATATTAATAACAACAACTGCATATCCTTTTCAGGGCGTCCATCCCTCCTTCACAAAAACTTGAAAAATAGGTAAGAAAAACTCTTATACTATTATTTTTAGTCTTGATCTCGCCGCTGGTGATGTCTTGTTGTTGGTGTTGTTACTCACTTACTTGTGTTTGCGGGGGTTGAGCTTTGGCTCTTTGGTCCCGCCTCTCAACCGTCAATCAACCGGTGTACAGATTCCTGAGCCTACTGGGCTCTATCATATCTACATTTGAAACTGTGTATGGAGTCAGCCTCCACCACATCACTGCCTAATGCATTCCATTTATTTACTACTCTGACACTAAAAATTTCTTTCTAACGTCTCTGTGGCTCATCTGGGTACTAAGTTTCTACCTGTGTCCCCGTGTTCGTGTTCCACCCGTGCTGAAGTGTGTCTTTGTCTACCCTGTCAATTCCCCTGAGAATTTTGTAGGTGGTTATCATGTCTCCCCTACTCTTCTGTTTTCCAGGGACGTGAGGTTCAACTCCTTTAGGCTTTCCTTGTAGCTCATTCCTCTCAGTTCCGGGACGAGCCTGGTGGCATACCGCTGACTCTTCTCTAACTTTGTTTTGTGTTTAACTAGGTATGAACTCCAGGCTGGAGCTGCATATTCCAGGA